CTTCTTACTGGCATCTGGCACCAATCAAGCAGAAAGTAGTACAAAGTTTCACTGGACATGGACACTAGAGAGAGAGCTGTGTGTACTGGAGTGCAGCTCTCACTGGTGACATGGACACTGGGGAGCAGGGGCTGACTGGCAACTTTTAGCCCAGGGGGCAAGTACAACAGAGAGGCCCATGGTGCAGCAACTTGTCCCCCCCGCCCGTCTGCCACTTTTGCCATCCATGTAACAGTAGTGTGAATGGTCGGGAGATGTGAGGACTCCTAGTAAGTCCATGAAAGGGGTGACTGGCTGGGGGATGGTGCTCTCCTCCCACTGGGCTCCCTACATAGTTCTGGCCTTACTCCGCTCCATGTCTAATACTTAGGCACTCTCGCCTACTGTAGGCCGCCGCTGGCTGTCCATGCTTCTGAGCTGTGAGCTGTGGGAGGTTAGTGGGAGGGGGCGGACAGTGTCAAAGTCAGTGTTCTATAATTTTTCTCGATCCTATACATTTTCTCTACTGCGTCACTTCCAGTGGGGCAGAGTTATCCGAATCAGCTGTTTTCATGGCCCCCTTTCTTCATGGCATGTGCACCTGGAAGAGACGCGGTAGATACATTTATGCGTTGAGGAAAATTATAGCACACTGGTAGTGGAGGGATACCTCGTCAGTGCTGTGCGCGTGTACGACTGCTGCGACCCTGGTAGTTCTGCCACTAACTGCAAGCTGTAGAGGGACTACAAATCTCAGCACATTATACAACAATGCAGACTAATACCACAAGCTGTAGAGGACTATAAATCTCAGAAATACATTGTACAGCATTGCAGAATGGCATTTGCTATAGAGAACTACAATTCCAAGCAATACATTACACAACAATGCAGAATACCATCAGCTATAGAGGACTATAAATCCCAGCAATAATGACTACCCTTACTTCTTCTCCCCGCGTCCCTGTGCCGATCGTGGATGTGGGCGGGCGGTGAGTGTGAGGCAGTGAGGAGGTGTGGCGTGTAGAGTGTGGATGCAGGCGGGGTGGTCTAGCAGCAGCAAGCGTGAGGCAGGTAAGAGGTGCAGCGTGGATGCAGGCGGGCGGGTCTAGCAGCGGCAAGCGTGAGGCGGGGAGGAGGTGCGACGTGAAAAAGCGGCAAGCGTGAGGCGGGCAGGAGGTGCGACGTGTGGAGCATGGATGCAGGCGGGTCTAGCAGCGGCAAGCGTGAGGCAGGGAGGAGGTGCGGCATGCGGCGTGTGTGGAGCCATGAGCAGGGCCAACTAATCGAAAGCCGATAATCTATGTTTGAAAACAAACCCAGCATATGCTGGGTTTTGTAGTCCTCTATACAGCGCACTGCAGAATACCACCAGCTATAGAGGAGTACATGTTTGAAAACGTTTTCAATCATCGATTATAAATTGACTTGGTCGATTAGTTGTTGCAGCTCTACATTCATCTCCGATTTCTGGGGACAGTCCCCAGATTGAGGAGAGCAGCCCCATAAAAATTATGTCCCTGGGAACATAAAATAAAACGTTTTTTTCTTTATACTCACCTGATCCACCGCCAAGTGCAGCCTCCCGTCTCCCACGCTGTCAGAAGCTTGCGCGCAGCTTCTGAGAAGATACGCTATTAGTGTAGCGCAGAAGACGTACAGAGCCGCATCTGTAGCAGCTCTGTACAGTATGTATGTGGCGGAGGGAGCCACTGCGCCGGAGGATTCTTTTAGCCGGGGGGGGGGGGGGACGGGCCGTTTTTAAAGGCAGCAGAGAGGCCCGGGGAGCAATTGCCACCCTGCCCCCCGGCCCAGTCCGCCCCTGCTGGGGAGTGACGTTTGTACTGGAGTGGATTTCACTGGTGACATGAACACTGGGGAGTGACGTGTGTACTGGAGTGCAGATTTCACTGCTGAGTGACATGTGTGTACTGGAGTGCAGATATCACTGATGGCATGGATACTGGGGAGTGACATGTGTGTACTGGAGTGCAGCTCTCACTGGTGACATGGACACTGGGGAGTGACATGTGTGTACTGGAGTGCAGAGCTCACTGGTGACATGGACATTGGGGAGTGACATGTGTGTACTGGAGTGCAGCTCTCACTGGAGTGCCTTAGATGATCCTACACTGCAGATATACAGCTTTGAGGCACAAAGTACAGCACAGAAACTGCATTGATAATTTAAAGGGAACAGCTAAATCACAGGCACAGGTTACCTATATAGCATAGCAGATCTGCACTTTTGGAGTTGGGTTTATTTTAATGGAGATGTTGTTTATATAGTGTTACTTTCTATGGTAACAGGAACAAATGGAAAAAGTAAAATACATATTTTGTTTTCTTCCAACAGTTTAAAAAATCATTTTAATCTAATAAGGTTTGTGTAACTTTAGAGCTGCCGGCAAAGTCATTTCCTTCAGCAAGGCGCTGTACTCCTGGACACACTGAGCCTTTGAATGTATTGTAATGCACTTCATAATGGCTGCAGAATATGTTTTTATACCATCATCCAGTATGAAGTGGCTGCACAAAAGGAGCAAGCCGGTTAAGTATACACAAAGAGAGAATTAAAACCTGCCGCTCCGGTGTGCAATCTGTCGCACACAGAGGGGTGAACAAGCGGTTCATCCAAAGGTTTCCTGTAATATGTTTGGAGGGCTCGAGAAAACCAACATCACACGGAGACAAGAAGCTGACTCGTCATTATTCCTAGTAGAGACCTTTATTATTGTGCAATCATTGTAAAACGTTTTACTTTGGATCCCTTTGCTTTTCACTTAAAACCCTTCAAAGCATAAATATAATTCATTATTAAAGCTGAAACCCAGACAAACAGATTAATACCCATCTAAGTTACATGCATGTTGACTGTTTCACCTTCTAAAAGACTGGTCATTTATTTCAACGTGTTTTGTGTTCCGGCATGCCTGACAGAATCCATAGCCAGTTCGGTGACCTCACGTTTCTCCAACAGTTAGGCAATACAGCTTGATCACTGACATGCCCCAGACTGGTATAGTGAACATCCACACACTCATGAAGTCATCACTCTGTTCTCTGCTTCTGCCATGTGATATTATGACATTAATGTATTAGAACCCAATCCTGCTCTACAGGAGATTACAGGACCAGGACGCTAATATAAGAAATGATCTCGGTACTTTTACTAGTTGTATTTCAACACACAATTATTGTTAAGGGATACACAACTGCGCTAAAGTTTTGTATCTGCCTGGCGTTCAGCTGTAAAGAGACTGAGCCACGTAGCCCATTCAGGGCTCAATTACAGGGTCTATTTAAAGCCCACCCTGTGACCAACGTATACTCTCTTTTACAGTGCTCCCCTGCCACCCTTCCTTCTCACAGCTTCCTGATTGGTCTTAAGCTGGCCAATCAGGAAGCCAGGCGCCGTGCAATGATGCGTGCCCAGCTTTCCGATTGGTCGGGAAGCCGGCTTCATGCTCTCTCGTCACCTCATGACGAGGGAGCATGGAGCCGGCCAATCAGGAAGCCGGACGCCGCGTCATTACACAGCTCCCAGCTTCCTTATTGGCCAGAAAGCCGGTTCATGCTCTCCTGTCACCTAATGACGAGAAGCATGGGGACGGCTTCCCGGCTAATCAGGAAGCCAGGTGGCGAGTCCAGTACTCGGTAATCTGTATCAGCAAGTACCGGGAAAAAAATACCGGTACTCGATACCTAAATACTGGTATTGGTGCATCCCTATTTGTATGCACAAATTGTTGGCGCTATATAAATCCTGCACAATCATAATAAGAAGAACTGTAAGTGTAAGTGTATCGTTTTCTGCCCCTTCTCCTTCCAGCAGACTACTGTCCTGTTTTGCAGACATCTTAGCTGTGCGGCCTGTATGATGTCATGCAGCCTCTGACCAAAATCTTCAGTGCTATGCCTAAACATCTGTACCAGTTCCTCCATTAACTTCAATGGAATCTGCCTGCTAGCCTGTAAAGGTGCCCATACACTGCACGATTCTCGTACGAGAATCGCGGGAAATCCCGCAATCGTACGAGAATCGTGCAGTGTATGGAAGGCGTGCGACCGTTTCTACTGTACGGTCGCACGTCTTCCGTCGAACCAGCAGGGTAGAAAACCCGCCGGGAATCGTACGATTCTCGGCGAGTTAGTGGCCTGCTGGTTCGACAACTGCCGAACGGGCCGGTGTGCACAGCCCGTTTGCAGTCATCTTAAGCCCGCCCCTCATTGCAGTCATCGTAAGCCCGCCCCTCAGGGGGGCGGGCTTGCAATGATCGAGAGTACGATCTGCCTGTCCAAGATGGGCAGATCGTACGTTTTTTTAATCACTTTACAACCATCGCAAGACTAAGGTCTTGCGATGGTTGTACAGTGTATGGCCACCTTTAGGCTTGCTAATTAGCTTTCCCCTAGCCTGCTCACAGGAAAATGTAGGAACATCCCAACACTAATGAGGTCATCATGCTGCTCTGTTATCTCCCAATGTTAGAACAAGAACACTGTGCAATGTAGTAGTGCATGAGTGGCTAACGGTACTGCTCCAGCCTCATCCTGCTGTGTAAACAATTCCAGGAAGCTAATATAAAGACAGATTCGGGTACTAATAATAGCTGAAATAGTTTTTTTAATTTTTTTTTGAGGGAATAAACTGCATTAAATGGTTTAATATCTGCCTGGAGTTCAGCTTTAGGACTGTACAGTTATACTTCTACAGGCATTCATACATCTTCCACGACATGCAAAGCAAACCTTTATTCCCATACGCTCCATTTTGTGGCTGATATCGGGGTGAGTTTATTTGGAGGTAGTATGTTCCATAGGGAAAAGAGGCCTGGCTCAGGTTTTCTAGACAAAGTGAATAAACTGGGGAGGACAATCCTGGGCTCCGCTACCGTCCAATGACTGCGAAGGCGATCAGTAATAGATGCAGGCTATTGATAACATTGTATACCTTCTCCCCATCGAGCGATGTCAGTTCTCTCTGTGCAATATGTAAAATATAAGTAGGCAGTTTTGTAAAGTTTATATTGGACATCAGCTTATCTTGTAAACTCCTCCCAGTCCACTTCAGTAAAGAAAGGATGTGATTTGATCTCTTCAACGCCTGCAACTCCGGCCCCCAGGCGCTCCATGGGGTTAAACTGCAAAAGCTAAAAATAAATAAATTAAAATTATGAACGACAATTTTTTATAACAATTTTAATAACAGAACAGTGGCATGAGGCGGGTCCTCATAGCATCTCTTCTTTCATTTTTTATTTTGCAACAAGGTCATTTAAAACTATTATTTCTACCTAAACAGAATATGTCAGCATTTAAAGGAATCGTCAGTTTCCCAAAGATCCTAAAACCCAGAGTGGACCTAACTACAAGTATTATGGTGATTAAAGTCTACATGTATCTTCCTGAAAGGAGAACTGTGAGGTGAGTTTCATTGTCACACGTCGGCTCTATAGATCGGGAAGTGAGTGAACACATAGCGTCACTCGCTCACTTCTCGATCACGGGAAGGACGCTAGTTTATGTCCTCCCGCGACCCATAGAAGAACTATGGAACACTTAGCACATATTTCTCCTTTAAACACAGTAAACTGTCAGCAAAGCTGCAAATCAGGAACCTGAGTGGTCTTTTGATTTCACCTTCCACCTCAAACCATAAAGTCTCAAAACCCAAGGTGCTTCCATATGCAAATATAGACTTCAGTTTACAAATTTCTAGCTGTGTTCCTCCTTCAATTCACTACTGGTAACAAAATGTGATTTGTGGCCTCGCTGACCAATAAGGAAGTGTCAGAGAGATCAGTTTTACATTTCAGGAACTTACTTCAGAGGCTGTCACTACTGACTAAACTGGTATAGGTAAAAGGTTACAAGGCTATTCTTCTGATACTGGCTCAGTGAGTGAGTGCCCTGTTAGAAGCATGCAGCCAGAAAAGTCAGAATTTCCATCCTACATGCCTATTGCAGATAACTGACTCAATAGGGAGTAAAATCAGGATGACAGCCCTAGAACCTGTACCTATAATAACAGGGCAGCACCTTTATTTCTTGCTTGACAGATTGCCAGAAAAGATTGAGCAGATAATCGAAACTCAGGCTGGGTTCACACCTAGGCAGAGGCGTTTTTGCGCGTTTGTACACACATTAGCAGCATGCGGTTACTTGTGCATTTATGCGCGTTGTATGCGTGTTTTAACACGCGTACATGAAGACGTGGGTTTTGATTGGCAGCTCAAACTATTGTGGGCAATGGAAGAACGCGCGTATAAAAGTGCAAAAACGCTCACGGGCATTTCCAGTGAAGTTTATGGGGGGAAAAAGATTTTTGCAAAAACATTTTTAAAAACAAGTTTACAAAAGGGTTAAAACTTACCTGTGACTCCGCCGCACGCTCCCTTCCGAAGATCTGAAGATTCTCGGGGGGCCGCAAAGGATCATGGGGCGGGCGCATGCACAGTTCAGATCTTTGGCCGGGAGATAAGGAGAGACACAAGGTAAGTCAATGGAGGCACCGTACACCCTCACAGACTCCGTGGGACAGGAAGTGCCAGGAAGAGATAGGAGTTAGCGCTGGATCAGAGACCGGCACCAGCGCTGGAGGGACTCCTAAAAACTACTGAAAGAAGAAGATGATCGGATCAAGAGGCATCATTTAAGGTAAGTCCTTACACCAGCATTGGGGGGACTTGCCTTTAATATCACTTTAAGTTTCCTAATCTCCTTCTTTCAAAAAAGAAATACCTGTTGATCCTGCCTGCCCTTTTTTCCACAGGGTGATAATATTTGGCCAGCAGTGAATTCAGTGCAGCGTTGTCACCCTGAGCAGCCGCTGTAGCTACCTGAAATACCGAGCTGCGTTGCCACATATGCCAAGGAGGAGGGTTATCAGCACTGGCGACAACCCTACCATTTAGTGGCAATCAGCACAAGACAAGTAGTTCAACCCCCCCCCACCCCCCCAAAAAAATATGGGAATACCTATAAGGGGAAAAGGGGGACTTGTAAATCTAAAAACATGAGTTTGACCAAAAAGAGACAATAAATATACTAGGGGGAGAGGCAAGAACCAGAATGGGAGATAATTTCACACTCATAAAGCAGCTATATAACATTGAAGAACTAGGTAGACATTAAAGAAGATATTAGGGTGGCATCTGTTACAGATCCTTGAACACGTCTTTCTTTTTTCCATGAGGCACCACCTTAAAATTGATAATGGTATTGTAAGTTACCTAATACAGAACTAATGCAATGTATTAAAACACATTTTCCTAAGTATTAGTGTATGTAAAACCTGCACTGAAAGGGTCTTTGCATCAAGTACAGTACAGACACTGGGAATTTCCCCGGCAAACATTTGTCTTCATCTGCCACTACAAAGCTGAGTAAACTTTGAAGAGTATGAAAGTAAAGTCAAAGGCCCCGTATGTAGGGTACGAAGTGGCATAAATTTCCCCAGACGCTCCCCCTGGACATGACTGTGACATTTTTGAGTGGAAAAGGAAAGGAAAAACAGACGAGCCCTCTCCATGCTACTATAGGCCTTCCTTTTTCCTGCTAAAGACTTCCTGACAACATGCACTGCTGGTTTCCTCCTACAAACAACAGGCTACATCAGAATCTCCCCAGCGGCCACTTGTTATGAGCTATGATGAAGTTGCTGGGTCATCAGAGGGTGCAGGGGTTAATTTCAAAGAATGCTTACCCCTTCTTATTACTTCTGGTCCAACAGCACAAGTTGCCTATAAGGATTCTCAGCAGACGTGATGGACCAGAGGTGACCTCACAGGCCACTAGTCTACAAGGATGCAGGGTCAAGCTTAGAGACCCAGACGAAAGGCAGACAGCATGTGGCTTTGACTAAAGGTTTGACCTTTGTTTCTTTTGCAAATTACTCTTTGGGTTATACAGTCTTTATGACATAAGGATGTAGTCTAGTCTGACCAGATCAAACAGCCATACAGTTTTTGTTACTTGAGGATTGTACAAGTGTACATATAATGGTGGCATATAGAAGAAAAAAAAACTCAATGGGATTATTTTTTAGACGAGGCCCGTGTTTTTATAAAGAATCTGCAAATATAAAGTCCATGACTATTTGAAGATTAGGAGAGTCATTATACAACCAGGTGCCTCTGCTATTAAATCCCATTTGGGGCTTTTTATTCTTACCACCATTATATTTGATGACTTCAATGCTCCCGAGGTACCAAAGCTTGGATTTTCACCCAGTATCCAGAGGCTCAGTGCTCAACCTCTGGCCCTTTGGTACTAGATTTCAGCCCTTGGACCCCAGCAGTCTGTAGCATGTCCACAGTCACTGACCATCATTGTATGTCTGCAGTCTTTGACAGTCCTCTCTACCATTACATATACTCAGCATTATATGTGTTCTTTGGGTGATGTAAGGGGCCTAAGTAGAGACCCTCTATACCTCAAGTTGGCAACCACTGAACCAAAGCAGCCTACTTGGATCAGGGTCTGCGTGAAGGCAAACATATTTTCCACAAGCCAGTTTTCAAGGCAGCAGACCATTAATACAGTGGCGGACCTAATAACCAAAGGGCCCTGGTGCAGGATTTTATCTTGGACCCCCCAGTTGCAGTAGCGTGCTGGACTCTGGACTTACCTGAGACCCGGCAGGGCACATCATAGATCCTGCATAGCCCACCTAGGACTCTCTATGGTGGGCGATGCAGGGTCTCAGGTGAGCTGGTCGCTGGGGTCCCTTACTCCGTACCTCCTCCCAACTCTTCTTACCTGCTGCTGCTGGGGCCCGGCCTCCTCCACCCCGTTTGCCATGCCGCCCCTGGTACCGCTGATACCCATGTAAGGGGCCCCCCTGGCTGCCCAGACCCCTCACATGGGTACCAACCATACCCCCTCAAATACCATACCATATCAAAGTTTGTGACTACGTTAGAATGTGTGACCGGTGACGTGGTCACGCGTTTTAAAGTAATCCCGCCCAGTTTTTCGGCGGTGGAATGTGTGACCGCCAATAGGTGAAGCATTCCAACGCTTTCTCAGCTGTTCCAGGGCAGATTGGCATCGCAGATGGTATGTGCAGGAGAACCGATCGGTCCTGAAATGTCCCTTCTTTCCGACTTTGTGACTGCGATCTCACATTGCACAGCACTCACAAAGTCGGATAGAAGTAGCATTTCAGGACTGATCAGCTGTTCCAGGGCAGATCGGTTCTCCTGCACATACGATTTGCGATGCTCGCTATATACTGAGTTTTGGGTCACCGGAGGTTAGTATATATCCTCCCGTGACCCTAAAGAGAACTATGGGATAAAAGGTTTCCCCATAGTTCTCTTTTAAGTGTTTTCTTCACACTTTAAAAAAAATGTTTCCTCCAGCAACAGAATCACTTTATAGTAAAAAGTTACTTTGCTATTTCTAATTTTGCAGCTTTCATTACAATACTACCTTGTGATCCTGCCATGGTTCTTCCTGTGATAGGGTGACAGCACTCCGTTTCTGTTGTACCATTGTTTTCCTGTGTTGTCACCCTGTCACGCAGGCTTTTGATGGAGACTACAAGTGACTTGTCACCATCAAGAAACCAACCCTGAAAAATGTCATGTAGCCATCCCTGGAGTATATGTAGACAGGAATTGGCTGTAAAGATACTAAAGGAGATCTATGGTACTGAGATGAAAAAAAAGGATGGAAAAAATAATTAGGTAGAAAAAAGGAAATTGTTTATGATACACAGTAATGTAGAATGCTAAATGTCTTTCGGTTCAGGTTAACATTTACTTTAAAACAGCTAGAAATTGTAAACACGGATACAGTTTAAACTGCATCTGTGATGAAATGAAAGAAAAACGCTCAAAACAGTACAACTTCGAGTGAAAAGTCTAAGAAACATTTAAAAGCTCAAACTTCACATGAGCTGCGCTGGCTTAATAAAAACACAACCCTCATTGCTTCTGAAGTTTCGTTTCTGTAAAAGTCAAAAAAGCACCTTACATAATTGCCCTTCTAGTAGAGACTGCTGTGCCACCTCCTGCACAGTAATCTCGAGGGAGCCGATGTCCTTGGATCTCCCTTACAACAGATCGCTTGGGTCTCAGATGTGATGTGGAAAGAGTAGGATGTATTTTGACAAGTGCAAGGCAGACAAAATGAGACAAGTCTGCCATCAGAGAGAATTTGTAAAACACAGATGTCTGAAATGATCCTATTTCTAATAGGGGAACGAACACAGATCATCAGAAACCTTCCACCACCACCCCCCTCCTCGCACTTCTACGGAGCCAAAAATCTGCTCCAGGCACCGCAAAAGAGAAAAAGGCAAAGGGAATTCTTTGCGCTTAATTCCTCTCTTCCCATTGCCAGCCTTGTCAAGATCTTGGAACGGATGAGCCAAGATCAGGAGCGAAGCGCTGACTCCGGTAAAGGCACCTGAAACGGAGGCCGCGTCTTCAGAAGTTCAGTGTCAGGCAAACGCTTGACAACATTTGCCGTTTTAATATTTCATCTGTGAGCGGCGGCATTCACTGGGGGCGGGAAGAATGTCCAAACCAGCTGTTCATAAAATAAGCAAAGCTGGGGAGAAAAAAAAGAGAAAAAACGTTCAAATCCATTTGTTTTATTCACTGTCGTGGACCGTTATCCTTAGCCGCGATGCTATACAAATAGCGGCCTGTGTGGAATAATGATCGACTGCACGGGGAGACAGTGTGACAGCTTAGGAAGAGTTCGAAGATTTGTGCCAAAAGTCTATTTTATCTTTTAACAATCAAAACTAAAATCTGAATATATGTTACACAGCAATGGTACGAGCAGACTCAAACTTTTAACAGCAAAGATGGCAAGATATAGTAAAGAGAAAAACAAGCATCGGACTTTCGAGGAGCCCTGTTATGAGAAAGATACATACACTGCAGAGCTGATCTCTTTCTACCTGGCTGCCATGTTGATCCTCTAGCTTCAATACTTACTGACCTGAAACAAGTATAGGAGTTCCATCATCACGGGCTGCACGCTTGTTCCAGATCGGTAACTCTCAAAGTATCAAAACCACAGAATAAGCATGTCAGAGAGGCAGTACAAGCACAATACAAGCACAGGCCTATGTATTACTTATTATATTTAATTATTATTATTACACAGGATTTATATAGCGCCAACACTTTGCTTTGTGCTTTACAAAATGGCAGGAGACACTACCGTTATAATACAATTTCAGTACAATAGGGTTGGGATTCTGTTTTTGTTTTTTTACATATTTTATCTATTACGTTTCATTCTAAAAAATGTAATTATTATTATTTTTATTATTTTTAAACAAGTAAATGTGAAGTACTCCATGCAAATATTTAAACAGTCCAGCTCCAGAGCTATATTCAGGTTTATCATTTATTTTGGTTATAGAAATAGGCCATTTTGGTGTATTTTTTAAAGATTTCATTCAATATCCATATACTTTAAAGGCAAAAATGTAAAAAGATAGATAAAAATCCACTTTCTTCCATGTTTACTGCTGAAAATATCGAAATAACAATTGTTATGATTGTTCTTCCATCTATACCATTTACTTTGACACCAAAAAATAATGCTTGTAGTACAAAGCAAAGGAACGCTGGAAACAAAACGAAGGTGCTTTTTTATATTATTATTATTATTTTTTTACACTCCAAGAAAAAAAAAAAGAAAAGAAGAAGCTAGGCAGAGAAGGGAGTTTATGATGGAAGATTTATTGGATGGATTTATTGACCTTAATTAGGTAATGTCCCCACCATTGCACTGCCATAACGAGTGTGTTCATATGATGCAGTGTCATTCTGAATGGCATCCCAATGCACTTTGCCAGTGGATTTGCATTGCCACGCATATATTGCCTGTGGTATTCCTGCAGCTGATCCCATTATTGACTTACCATGCCTTGTTCTGGACTGTGTGGAGACGGCCATCTTTGTACAGAAGCAAAGATTTGCTTCTTCATATCAGAAT